GAGGGTTCCGAGGTTGTCGTCTGATATGACGTAAACCCTCATATCTTCCAGGCGATTTGTGTGGCAATGTCGTGCAAATATAAGCCCTAATTAAATAAATATGACAGGATGAAACACTTTAATAATTTCTTCTCGAAACATTTCTTCTCGAAACTGAACTGAAGTCAAATCATAGGATAAACTGGGAAGTCACTGAGGTTCTCCTCTGGATCCGTGGTCTCCCCTAGTTTCTCTTCATTTGGATTCCTCAACATCGTTCCAGGTTCGAGCATATCCCGTTTCACACCTCTTGTCTGGTTTCGTTGAAAAGTCTTATCCTTTTGACTTCTTTGAAGATAGTATTTTCCTGATTTTTATCGAGAGTTTTCTTAGGTGATTTCGGTCATTTAAGATGTAATTAACTATGGGGGCTTGCCCTTATAGAAAGTTTTTCCGAACCCAGCCTAAAATAAACCCTATTTAATTCTTTGTATTAAATAGGGGAACTTGTCGGCAAATAAGACGATTTCGCAGACCAAACAGACGTCATATATTTCTTAGTTTATTTGATCGAGTCTCATCCTCAAGTCTTGTGTTTATTCCTCGGGATAGATACAGGATTTGTGGTAGAGTGCTCTTTCATTTAAACTGTAAAAAATATGAGGTCAATTTGATTCCATATTTTTCTAAAATTATATATGTATGTAAATTAAACGTTCTTTCGAAGCGGGCGACGGGACTTCACTTCCAGCGACCGACAGCTTCTTAGAGACAACTTTTGAACAAATCACCCACCAAATCTTTTTTAACTCCCCCTCCCTTTTAGCTGCCGACAGTGATATCATCAAATTCGGATGTGGTTGATGGATGTGCACAAAACCGCATTTCTAACTCATGAGGGAAGTTTTGGTTGATTTGGGCTCAACAACTCCCCAACTACTTATGAATCATTGATGAAAAGGGTGTTTCAGACTTTTCTCCAGAAGTTCGTTTTAATACTCTTTGAAGATATCCTAGTGTAGAACCGTACTTCAAAAAACCACATTAATTATTCAACGTATTGATAGTACTCGGTGAACTCTAGCTCTACACTAACTTAAACAAGTGTTTGTTTTCTCAATTGAAGGTGGAGTACATATGACATGGGTCTATTTCAACAGATCCATTGAAGGTAGTGGCTACGCTGGATTGGCTACTTCCTAAGATCTTGAAGACGTTGAGATGATTTTTGGAACTTAGAAGATATTATCAGAAGTTTGTGAAGAGTTACAACTCGATTTGGTGGTTGCTGATGGAGCAATTGAAGAATAATTTTTCAGTGAGGGAAAGCAACGACCCAGGCTTCTAAGAAGTTTTAAAAAAGACCAGGACGAGTGCCAATGCTAGTGTTGCCTCACTTCAACAAGCCATTCATTATAAAGACGTATGCTTCAGTTTATGGGTTAAAAGTCATTCTCATGCAGTGTCAATGACCCATCGCCTATTTCAGTCAAGTGTTGACGGCGAGGAATAGAGTCAAGCATGTTTATGAGCAAGCTTTAGGCTATTGCGCTTGTTATTCGGAAATGATTTCCTTTTCGAAGTTGCGTTTTACAGTACTCACGCACCAACGCATCTTAAATTTTAGTTAGAATAGTGTATGCCAGTTGAGGAACATCTAAGGTGATTATCTAAGCTACCGGGGTATGACCTTGAGATTTAGTGTCGCCTGGGATTTTAGAGAATAAGACCATTGATGCCTTATCACAATGGATGGAAGAACCTCAATTGTTGCTATTGTCAGTTCCTTTGATTTTAGATTGTGAGTTCTTGAGACAAGAAAGTAGAACATATGAGGAATTGAGCAAGATCTGGTAGGGTTTTTTTAATGAAGAAAATAGCTATCCCTGTTATTCATTGAATGGCCAACATTCACTTTTTCGTGGACGCCCATGCTATGTATTGACCCAGAGTTCAATAAGCATACCAAAGTTATTACAGGAGTTTCATGGCAGCGCTATAAGGGGGAACTCGGGCGTGCTCAAAATATACCAGAGATAGCAACATAATTGTATTTTGTGGGAATGAGAAAAGATATGGACATGGTCTCAAGGTGTGATTTGTGTCAGCGACACAAGTACATGGCGTTAGTGCTTGGAGGTTGCCATAACCTCTGGCATTATCGGAGAAAATATTGGAGAAGGTGTATGAATTTCATTGAAGGTTTATCTCGGACAGAAGGATCAACAGTCATCTTAGTGGTGATGAACCGGTTGAGCAAGTGCGCTCACTTTATCCCTCTGTCATCCCTACCAATACCGGAGTTAACCCAAATCATGACCAAACGACAAATTTTATTACAGAATTCGAAAGTTAAAAAGACGATTCCTAAACATAAACTAACACAAACATACAGACAGCAAGTACCAACGACAACTTTGTAAATAAACAAGAGAAAACAGCATAAAACACATAAATATCTCTCTAGAGAAGAGAGGTGGGCCCAAAAGGAAAGGAAGCTGCAGCAGTTCTAGGAGTGGACGGCAGAAGGTTGCAACGACACTGGGGGAGCATAAGTGATCTGAGCCTGCTCGAAGGTGTCGAACAACAGGTGGTTGTGGTGTTGGAAGGCGTAGAAGTGAGGGCGGACTACTGGGAGAAGGATGGTAGCAGATGGTTGTGGCGTAGGAAGGGACTAGAAGTGGCGGTGGACTGGATAGCAACAGGAAAGGGGGGTTGTGGACTGGACAGCAGCAGGGAGAGGTGGTTGTGGGCTATGCAGATGCAGGAAGAGGTCCTGGAGGGACTAGCAACAGCAAGGATGGAGCCTGGAGGGGCTAGGGGCAGCAAAGAGGCCCTGGAGATGCTAGCGATCGCTAGAACAGGCCCCTTTTGCTAGCGATCGCTAGAACAGGCCCTAAAGGGGCTGGCGCCAGAAAAGACAGGCCCTTGAAGAGATGGCAGCAGTAACGAAAGGAGATAACAGCACCTTGGACAAGTTACAGCCGGAGCACTTTCTCACCGCCCGATACAACCCTCGGAATGGGGAAACGTCGGAGGCAGAAATCTGAAATCATAAATAATCATCAACGAACTGTAAATAAACAAAGTAGCATATATATAATAGGTGAAAGTAGATAAAAAAACAAGTAATAGAAAGGGAAAGGGGTGAATTAGGAAGTTAATTGAAAAGGAGAGGAATGGATTGGAAAGGGGATAGAAAAGGCAGAAATTAGAATAAGAAAGGAATTCTTCCTATGGAAGGAAAAACAACAGGTAAGAAGAAGGAGGGGAGGGGCAGTAATTTCTGCCCCATGGTTGGCGCACTAGGGTTGGTTGTTTAAGCAAGCCATCAAACCAGGGCCGATTCAGCCGGCACATGAAGCCCCGTGTTAGTTACACGATTGTTTCTATTTGATGTTTTTATAAAAAAGATTATCGCCTGCACAAGATTCCAGAATCGATAGTGTGTGATCGAGACAAGGTCTTCTTGAGCGTCTTCTTGAGCCATTTCTCGAGGGAATTGTATAGAATGCATGGACCATATTGAAGAGAAGTACAGTGTACCATTCACAGACTGGTGAACAGTCTGAAATTATTAATCAAACTGTGGAGACCTATTTGCGTTACTTTGTGTCTGAAACACCCAAGCATTCTGCTAAATGATCACCCCGTGCAAAATATTGGAACAACACTTTGTATCATACAACTTTTTAGACTACTCTTTTTAAAATATCGTATTGTCGTGATTCACCACATTTGGTGCATTATGGACACAATACTATGCAGCTGACTCTGGTGAATCATACTTAAAAGAGACATGTTAGCAAAACTGAAGGTATATTTATTGAAGACTCAAAAATTTATGAAGAAACAATCTGACAGCCATCAAAGAGATGTGCAGTTTACTGTGGGAGATAGGGTGTATCTAAAACTTCGACCATATCAGCAAAAGACATTGGCAAGACGCAGGAATGAGAAACTATCCTCAAATTATTTTGATTCTTATGAGAACATGGAGCACATTGGTGTGGTGGCTTATCAATTAAAATTTCCGCCTTCAACGACACTTCATCCAGTGTTCCACGTATCGCAATTCAGATGTGCTATTGGTGATAATGTTTCCTTTTCTTCACTTCCCCTACGTTGATTGTGAATGTGGAAATTCTCTTGGAGCCATGGAGTTAAAAGAGGTGCGCCGGGAACGTTAGACCAGCACCTACGACACTTTCCACCACGTCGAGCCCGCCAAATAATTTGAATACTTATTTTAGGCACAAGGCTAAAAGGGCAATTTACTCATTTGTTAGTTATTATTAGGTATAAATAGGGCTTAATATGATTAGGGTTGGAGTATGTAATTGCCATCTAAAATCTTAGGAGTTCGGGTTTGTGAGAGAATCACCCGCCTCTCGAATTGTAGGCCTATCTATTCTGTATTCGGGATTGTCTTGTTTTGTTTTGGTACTCGTGGAATAGAATATATTATTTATTCCCTAACTCTTGTGAAAACTCGTCTCATTCCTATCACTTTCACCATGAGTTATTATACACAAGATTAGAATGGAATTATTTTATGAAGACAAAAGTCATCTTAGCAAGTAGGTGTAATGTGATAACAAAATCAGTGACATGTAATTCAGGCAATTTGGCACGCGATTAACATAAAATCGGTAATCTGATAAGCGCTGTGAGTATCAATATACTTTCTTTATAAACTCCAGTTGCATGGTGAGCCAATGTACAGAATAATTAGTAAAATAATATAACACGTGTTAAAGAATGCTGATAGAATTTAAACCAGTGTAGGGTACAAAAGCCAAGCAAGTATTGATAAAAGGATATGCTTATTGCTGAAAGAGAAAGAAATGAACGGAACCTCAACTTACACATGTTGCTCATATATATGCATGAGTTTAAGACGCTGAATATTGATGAAATGTCAGAATAACTAGATTATAAGATTATATATAATTTAAAACTAAAATTCTCAAAATTTGGGAAGTTCTAATGAAATATGAAAATAAGAAGAGGTGGTTTACCAGAAATATATGAAATCCTATGTTCCAATCAGTAAGGGCTGCATTTTCAGATGACTTGTACCTCAACTTTTCTGTGGCATCTGAAAGAGAAGATTCACTCTCTATATCACTAGCATCTTGCCTACAAAATTATGCAAGAAAACATACTCAGAGTGACATTGTTAGTAAATTGATCTAGCAAAATGCCAAATATCAACAACTAAAAAGGGGTTAATCCAATGTATGAAGCTCCCACCAAAGTTGATTAGAGGAGATATTAATTTACATAGCCAATCCCCTAAGAAAGATATATTTTCAGCGACTCAGCCCAAGACCCCTAGTTCATTACTGTATCAATTTAACCATTTTGCAAGCCCACCCTCGCCGAAATATTCATAACTAGAAAGAACAAATAAATTATTTCATGTACTTGGTAACAATCCAATATCTTCCTACCACTCAGCATAAGACAATGTCTTACCACAGACTACAGTATACAAGCAAAATAATATCCTAAACCGAAAAGAAATGTGACGTCCAAAAATAAATTTTACCAGTGTAAGAAAAAATAGAAGACAAAAAAATGATAATTTATAAAAAAATCAAATCATAATAAGTTTTTCTATAGCCAAGTCATAAAGTATAGCTTTAAAAATTATTTAAGCTCTCCAAAAAATTCACGAGCATATATAAAGACTTTAGCAAATTAATGGGCTACAAAGGAGAATCAAGAATTACCCCATACAAGCCCAAATTACAAGGGCAACGAAAGCAGCAAAATCAAGGCAATTCATAACAGAACAAAATCAGACCCATTTTCAAACATTTTAGTATCATAGCTATTTATGGTTAATTTCTCTAATTTATTTCAGTTGACTTATTTAATTAGGCTCATCCATGTTGTTTTATAAGATCTGTTTCAATTGGAGCAATTGTTGGAATTGGATAAAATTAGATTTGCTTTTGAATACTTATCCTTATCTTATAACCTATTTTGATAAATAGAGATCATGCTTTGTAATTGAATTATTAGTATTGATTGAATGACTGCAAATTATTTGAGAAGCCAAGTTTTCTTTAGATCCAGGTGTGTACATAGATAAACTCAAGTTTTGCATGTAAAATTCATCCCACCCCCTTCTCTATCAAGTTTGAAATCAATAACTTGCTAACAGAGCCACATCTACACCTCACTGTAATTCTGATAGCCCTAAATACATAAAGACAAGCACCCTTACCTCCAATAAAAACAAGGCTTCTGAGTTTGCGAAAAATTGCAATCTCGCACCATACATTTTCATCACAGCTAGTTACAGCCGGTGGTTGAACACTTCCAGTCAATTTAGAAATACTATACTTCAGCATATAGACCCTACACTAACATGATCAAATGGCCGAGGCTTGGTTTCCAAGCTTTAAATAACCAAATAAAAAAATTTTAAAAAAAATACTTTAACGACCATTTGCTTATGGCGTCACCAGGATGGTCACAACATCAAGAAATTCTCTGGATAAACCTTTTCATGAATTAAGGGAATTCAGATCTCAACAAGCCAAAAGAAGGTGAGTTTGAGGATATGATTGATGAAAAGCCTTGATTGATAAGGATGTTTATTTTTTTTATGAAAGTTCAACACAATTGAATGTTATGAATATTCTCAGCCACTTCTAAGGATTGAAAATGCACTGGTATGTTCCTAATATATGCAACATGCAATACTAATTACTCAGCGATTATGGAAGTTTTATGAATGTTATCTCAAAAGCAGTCTTGCTTGGATTGGATTTTAAAATGGAGTCAAGTTTTGCTCCTTTCTTTGGTTTGGGCAAATCAAACATTCCTATATAAACTTAGCAGAATCATGAATTTGCTATATAAGCTCATAGTCATGAAGCAATTAAAGTGCTAGTGTAGCATAATGTTTTCCAGCATATATCTTCAGCATAACTCAAAATTATTATATGCATGATTTTTTAAAATTAAAGAAGCTAAAACACATTCCAAAACAGGGTCTTAAAATAGGTTGTGCGGCATTTGGCACAGAAATTTTCTTATCTTATTGTGCAAATACCTAGCTGCGAAATCACACAAAAATTAAGCTGAGTTGAGCAAATTTGAATAAGGCTAAATTATGGGGAAAAAATGCACAGCATTACGACTCTTCATTGAATTTGGATGGCAGATATTATTTTTTCAGTACAACTAAAAAGATGCAACTTTTGTGATAGCCGATTAAGTCTGACAGCAGTACATTGCAGCATAAGTGGCAGTGTAACTAAAACAATATTAATGAAAATTGTAATGTTCACAAATAATATTAGACCATAGCGTAAACAGTACGAAGTAGCACCATACAATATAGACTTCCAAAAACAAAATGACCAAAAAAGTAAGTGTTGCAACGGCGCTACAGCATCGCCTACCGCATGCATCACTATGTCGACACCGAGCCCGCCAAAATAGTTTGAAGGCTTGGGTTATGCCTAAGAATAAAAGGGAAATTTAGTCATTTGTTAGTTATTATTGTGGGGTATAAATAGGGCTAATATGTTTAGGGTTAGAGGCTGTGACACGAGGCTACTAAACCAGAGCTAACCCAGTTGGGAAGGCTGGACCGGTTCAAAAAGGGAAGCAAGGGGGCCAGCCGGCCCAATTATTTGGGTTAGGGTTTCCGCCCAAGTGCACCAAGCTATCTATTATTATAAATATTGCTTATCCATTGTTTAAGGTTAGTTTTTGTTGAGTTTTTTTGTGAGGACAGTTGTCGACTTCTCCTCTTTTCTCTTGCCAGAGCTACATCGAAGATAAGTGATTCTCCAGCTATGTCATGCTCCGAGGTGGTGATTATCTCTGATTTTCATTCCTATATAAAATTAGCAAAATGATGAACTTGCTATATAAGCTCATAGTCATGAAGCAATGAAAGTGCTACTCTAGCATAATGTTTTCCAGCATATATCTTCAGCACAACTCAAAATTATTATATGCATGCTTTTTTAAAACTAAAGAAGCTAAAACGAATTGCAAAACAGGGTCTTAAAAAAAGTTGTGCAGCATTTGGCACAAAGAAATTTTCTTATTTTATTCGGGGAATACCTAGCTCCGAAATCGCACCAAAATTAAGCTAAGTTGAGCAACTTTAAATAAGGCTAAATTATGGTGGGAAAATGCACAACATTACGACTCTTCATTGAATTTGGATGGCAGATATTCTTTTTTTAGTACAACTAAAATTATGCAACATTCGTAACAACCAATTCAGCCTGACAGAATACATTGCTGCAAAAAAAAGCAGTGTAACTAAAACTACATTAATGAAAACTGTAACACTCACATATAATATGAGACCATAGCGTAAACAATACGCAGTAGCATCAAACAAATTAGACTACTGGAAAAAAAATGAAAAAACAGTTAATTGTTGAACCAGCGCCTACAGCACCGCCTGTCTCATGCTTCACTAAGTCGACACCGAGCCCGCCAAAATAGTTTAAAGCCTTGTGCTATGTTTAAGACTAAAAGGGCAATTTAGTCGTTTGTTAGTTATTATTATGAGATATAAATAGAGCTAATATGTTTAAGGTTAGGGGATGGCTACTGAACCAGGGCCGACCCGGTTGGAAAGGTTTGCCCGATTCAGAAAGGGAAGCGGGGGGGCCGGCAGGCCCAGTTATTTGGGTTAGGGTTGTCGACCAAGTACACCTAGCTATCTATTATTATAAGTATTGTTTCCTTTGTTTAAGATTAGTTTTTGTTGAGTATTTTGTCTGGATGGCCGTCAGAGTCTCCTTTTTTCCTTTCTTGGGCTGTATCGAGTACAAGTGGTTCTTCGATTGTGTCATGCTATGAGGTGGTGATTATACTCGACAACTTCCCTAACGTGTTGCCATCTTCTGTGCGCCCCCCCCCCCCCCCCCCCCACCTCGGCTGTTGTCTCCATCCCAACATCACCTACCACTACCACAGCCCCCTCTGCTACCATCACAAGTCCCATTCAGCCATCCAATTGTCGTCCCAGCACTTCTACTTCTGCAGCGACCCACACCAGCACTCCCACTGTTGCCGCAAGCCCCATCCAACAATTCCGCGACAGTCCAGCCAATGTCCACCACTCTCGTCCTCACCTTAGGATGTTATTTGTGTTTTTTCGTCATTAATTTTCAATTTTTAAGAGCCTTCACTATAATCTTTTGAATTTCAACAACAATACCTTGATTATATTGTGATATGGGTTAACTCAAGTATTATTTGGTATCTGGCTAGCCTAACCCTAGTCCTATCCTAAGATTTCCTAACATTCGCCCCTACCCAAACCACCTCCACCAAAAATTTTCTTTCCTATTCTCAAACCATAGCAAAACTTTGACCTAACCCTAATTTTCCCCAACATTCACCTCTCAACTCTAAACCCTAGCTATGTCACCAAAGAGATACATGCTCGAGCCTAATCGGGAAGAGAAACAGCTAAAGATCCACCGACTTCAGCAAAAGCTTGTGGATATTGAAGATGAAAATTAAAGGGGAATTACCCTTGATCGTGATAGGGAAAGTCGAAAGGGACAAAGAGACAAGAATTTCAACCCCTACCATAAGGAGAATTTCAGTGATGAAGAAAATAGGTCATGATGCTTTGAAATCCAATATCAGAGAATACCACATATGGAGGACACTGGTGCGCCAGAATAAAGATGGATCTAATAGAGTTCGATGAAGGTATGGATCCTGACGACTTCATTGAATAGCTGCAGTCAGTTAAGAGAATCTTCGAGTACAAATGTGTCCAAAGATAAAAGGCTAAAACTAGCGACAATCAAATTTAGGAGCGCATTTGTGGTCGAAAAACTTGCAGAAGCAGAGGAAGAGAAAAGATGGCAACAAGATTATCAAGTAAGAGAAGATAAGGAAGGCGGTGTAAGGAAAATACATACATCCTCATTATCGTCAGGATATGTTTCTGAGACCGCCACCTACATCATAGAGACCTATCACAGGAGTTAGCAATAGAGTTTGACTAGTTGCAGAATAAGTGTAAGTTGGTTGAGCTAAATGAAGATTTCATTGCCCGATATATGAGTGTTTTGAACCCCACTATCAGCAACATAGTGCAATTGTAGCTCTATTGACACTAGACGATATACAGATCTTAGCTCTGAAATTTGAGAAGATAAAAGACTAAAACTAGCGACGATCAAATTTAGAAGCGCGTCTATGGTGGAAAAACTTGCAGAAGCAAAGGAAGAGAGAAGATGGCAATAAGATTATCAAGTAAGACAAGATGAGGAAGGCGATGAAAAGAAAATACCTACATCATCATTATCGTCAGGATATGTTTCTGAGACCGCCACCTACATCATAGAGACCTATCAAAGGAGTTTGCAATAGAGTTTGACTAGTTGCAGAATAAGTGTGAGTTGGTTGAGCCAAATGAAGATTTCATTGCCCGATATATGAGTGGTTTGAACCCCACTATCAGCAACATAGTGCAGTTGTAGCACTATTGACACTAGACGATATCCAGATCTTAGCTCTGAAAGTGAAGAAGCAAAAACAAAAGAGCAGACAACCACCACTAATTAGGCAGCCACCCGTAGTTAGAGATTGCAGCAAGAGCACGCCTTAGGAAATTGAGAAAACTGGTTTGGATAGGGCAGAATCACACCCAATGAGAAGAAACCTAAGAAGGGTAGCACGCCTACTATAATACCCGCCTGAAGATACTTCAGATGTCATGAATTTGAGCACATCGCCTCCAGTTGCCCGGTGAATCGAATTGTGTATTTTACTGAGCAAGGAGAAGTGGAGAAAACTAACGACGAGGAGACAACTGAGGAACTTGTTAAGGTGTGTCAACTTCCACCTGATGAGGGCGAGATGCTCATGGTTCTACGAGTCCAGCAAACTGAGGATACGAGAGATCCGCAGTGGCTTTGCCACAACATGTTCTACACCCATTGCACTGTGAACAGAAAAGTATGCAGTCTCCTAGCACAATAAAATACACAATTCGATCAAGCGAGTAGCACGAACATGGCATCTACGAGGACGGTGGAGAAATTGGCTCTCATAGCTCAGAGGCATGCCTAGCCGTATTCTCTGACGTGGTTAACCGAAAACAGAGTCAACAATAACCGGAGGTGCATGGTGGAGTTTTCAATTAGAAATCAGTTGCAGGATCAGGTGGGGTGCGACATTGTGCCCATGAATGCATGTCATCTTTTATTGGGGAAACTGTGTCAATTTGACCATAGGATTCAGCGCGACCGATTCAAAACACCTAATCGTTCACGAAGGAGGGGAAGCATTGTCTTTCTTCCTTTTGCAAAGCTTGAGATTACAGGTGCTCTTACCAGCAGAGCAACGACGGTGGGACCAATTTTGGTAACAATGGAGGATGATAAAACTGAGACACCGATTACAGAGATGAGATAGTCAAAAGAAAGAGTATTTAAGGGCATCTTGATTGATAACTTACCGCCATGGCCACCACTATTTGGGAAGGCTCAAGTTACCGTCACTCTAGATCAGGTTAAGCTAACCTTGGATTACTTTGAGACGATTCGGCAGTATACGCACAAGCAGACTCAGCACGGCTCAGTAATGGACCCCCAGAAGAATGGATCGATATGGATGTATGCTCGTAAGTAGGGAAAAATCCTAAGATAATTTGGGGGACAAATGCAGTCGCCAGTGGGATCCAAGTGCTTCTCGGACGGCATTAGGTTTGTTAACCCCAAGAGCTTACAACAACCCCTTCAACATCAACAGGTAGTCAGAAGCCTCGAAGAATGAGATCAAAGTTTCCCTAACCCTGACAGACTGATGCGGGGTTACTGAACCGAGGCCAACCCGGCTTGGAAGGATTGACCGGTTCATGGAGGGCCAAGGGGTGGTCAGCCCAGTAATTTGGGTTAGGGTTGCCAAACAAGTGCTCCTAGCAGCCTATTTTTATAAATATAGCTTTTTCCTTTGTTTAGAGTTGGTTTTTGCTGAATTTTTTGTCAGAACAGTCATCGACGTCCCCTCTTTTCTCATGCTAGGGTTTTATCCAAAGTATATGTGGTGCTTTAGCTGTATCCCGCTTCAAGGTAGCGATTATCCTCGACTTTCCCCTCCTCCACAACCTGCCCTGCGTGTTTCCATCTTCTTTATGCCCCCCCTACTTCCTATTTTTGTTGTTGCACAGCCGCCTACTTCCAATTTTTGCTGCCGACCAAGCAATCCCACCACATTCTACTGTTGTCGCCAACCCTTCCATGCCACCTGTTGTTGCCTCCAACCCTTCCAACATCACTTGCCACTGCCGCAACCCCCTCCAACCACCTCTGCCGACATCACAAGTCCCATTCAGCCATCCAACTTGTTGTCCTAGCACTTCTACTACTGCCGCAACCCACACCAACACTCCATTGTTGCCGCAAGCCCCATACAACCATTCACTGGGTAATTCAACCGGCATCCACCACTCTCGTCCTCACCCTAGGGTGTTGTCAGTGTTTTCGGTTATTTATTTTTTGTTTTAAAGAGTCTTTGTTGTAACATTTTTAATTTCAGCAATAATAGTTTGATTTTGTAGCGATCCGAGTTAAGACTAGTATCACGGTATGTGATTTTATCTTGAATATTAGGGTTAGCATTTAGAAGAGATAGCCTACATCTCAAATTATAGGTGTTTATTTTTTATGTATTTGAATTATGTTGTTTTGTGATCATGAAGTAAAATATTTTATTTGCCCTGATCTTAGCAAAATTTCGTCTCTTTCCTATCACTAAACATCAAATTATATATCTATGTTGGTCTTCTTTCCTTATTATATACTCTTGCTGATTTGTCAATGACTAGTCCTACCAGTCGACAATTTTCATGCTTTACATCCAATGTTTTTGATATGACCTGAAGGCACCAACATATATCAACCCCATTCAATGTTGCAAAAAATATAAAGACAAAATAGAAATGCTTCACAATATAATTTCTCTAAACTATAAAATTGATGATTGTAAAGTAATTCCACATGCCAAGTTAACTGCAGAGATGCATACTGAGATTAAAAGAAGAAACCAAAAGAATAGATACCTTCGAATGAAAAACTCCCCATGCGGATCTTGAAGAATTCCATAAACCATCCAAGATGCTAGTTGGTTATACAAAATTTGATGCCCATGCCAAAGCAGCCTAAATGATAGAAGATTAAAATATCTGTACTCAACAACATAAAAGGATGCATACGAAAACTAGCCATGAGCCAATAAAAAGATGAAAATTATGTCTTAGGAGCTTAAACTAAACATAGCCATATGCGTAAGTGGTGCCTCCCCATCTCAGTTATGGAAGTTGAGATATAAAAAGCAACACAGTTGGATGATAGAAATAATTGTTGTCAACATATTAGTTCACACTTTCACTAAAAATACGCAAAGGAAACATCATAAATTAGTGTCGACCAATTATTTAAAGATGAATTATGTTGTGAGCTGAGACTTAGGCAAAAAGAAAATGCATGAAAGATAAAAGGGCTTGTCATTAGTAAAATGAAGATTGACTATGTTACAAGCAAATTTAATGTGTGCAATATTATTCATTATCAGCAAAAATTAATGGAAAACAAAAAATGAAAATAGATAAGCAAGAGAAACTTCTCTGAAGTGAATTAATTCAGAGCTCTTAAAGCAGGAAAATTAAACCTAAGCTTTAAGAAACTCGTGATACAAATAAGTCAAGTGAACAATAGAAACCTAGTAAAAAAGAACAGATTTGCCATTAACTGGGATTATTCCCACATTTCCCTATAAAGGTCTATAGTCCCCAAAAAATATTATTTAATTAAAGAGGCATTAATATTAATATTATTAAATAAAAAAAACTTATGAATAATTCTTAGATTTAATCTAGATGTTTAAATAGAGTTGATAAAAATGGATGAACAATTCAAAAAGATAACTAATTACTAATTTGTATTAAATATACAATTTTGAAAAAAAAAATTAATGATAAAACCTTAACTAATGAATCTAAACCATATTATAAGTATAATCGAGGAAAAAAAAGTTCCAATACTAAATCAAAGCGAGCTCAACCACTCGAATATAAATAAGATCAATCACCATGTAGCGAAAGTACGAACTTTAATAATGAATTTTAAACCTGTCATAATCTAAGTCATCAAATTACTTTTAGAAAGGGGGAAAGGAGGGTGAGGCAAAAAATCACCCAACATCCATTGGCCAATTTATATACATTGCCAACCTTTCATCTTTCCAAAAAACCTTCCCCATCGAGATAAATAATATTAATATGCTATGCCATAAACAATCTAATAAGTACTTTAATAAAGAATGAAAAAAACCTAAATTGAAGAAATGAGGGCTTTCTAGTTTCTCATTCGAAAAAAAATACTAAAGAGTCAACCTAATGCCTTTTATACCTTATATATCATTTTATATCATTTGAGAACTTACGCCTTTTATACCTTATATCCCTAAATCATTACAAAATTAACTATCTTTCCTCCATTAGAGTGTGGATACAAGCCTTGGGAAAAACAAAATAAATAAATTCATGAAGCAATCTTCTTCTTTACCATACAAACTACCAAAAGCTTCGCCATACAACCTCCCACAAGCTTCTTCTTCTTCATGCAACACCGTCCAACCTCCCATGAGCTCCCACGCTATCCAGTTGGTCTCATTAATGCCTTTTCCAGCAAGCTCCCACGACGTCGATGCCCAAGTTCCTGTGCTATTTAGGCCCTCATCAACGCTTTCTATAGCATACTCACATGCTACTCTAATGGCCTCATTAATGTATTCTCCCTAATTTCCACTCAAGCCAAGCTCGAGCTTGAGAGAAAACAGATATACTGAGCTTGAGCTCATAGTTTGAGCTTGACTGAAGCTCGCGTTTGAGCTAAGTGTTTAACCGAAAAATCAAATTAGAGCTCGAGTTCGTAGTAACTCGAGATGGCTTAGCTCATTTACACCCCTAGTTTATGCTACAAATTTTATTATTGAAACCCCTAGAATAATGCCAAATAAGAAAACATGAATCCCACAAATTCATGACAAGAAAAAAATCCGAATCCCACAAATTTATGCCAAAGAAGCTAATCCAAAACTAGCTTTTAGAATATGTATTTATTAACATAGCTCTAAGTAATCTCAAATTTCATCATATAGCTATATATTATATTATATCAATTTTTTTGCAGAACAAGAAAAAATTATTTCTTTTCTTTTGTGTTCTTTTAAGAAGATACATTTTTACCATAATTTACATTCGCGTAAGTGATGGTATTCACCTCATTATTTTCTTCCTTCAATACTTGTCTTACATGCCTATACGGAGTGTGGAATTCTGGGTTTTTTATTTTAGTTTTAATCTCTTTTATTTTGTTTTTATTATGTCATATTTCTTTCCTTCTTGAGTTATTTTTATTTTTCATAGATTGTAACGGCTATAATTAAGTTTACATATTCGTTCCTTATTATATAAGAGTTATAATTTAAAGATTGAGAAATAAATACAATTTTCTCCAACTTCTTCACGATATCAGAACTTCAAGTTTGATTTCGACCGGATTAGGGCATCTTCCATCGACCAACTTCGACTGGATTACTAGACTGCATCCTTCCTTAGTCTGTGTTGATCGGTATTATCGAATGCTTCGGTTGGATCAACATCATTTATTGCAAGATTGTTTGAATCGTTCGTTCGTCTCGTCATTTAAATCACTCGCCGAGATTGCTCGTTTGTTTCGTATGAATCTAACTTCGACTCTATCTAGCTGCACAATTCGAAGCTTCCTCCTATTCCATCACGTCATCTTTGATGTTCGGCTTTGTGAGTCGTGTAGCATCATCTAACTACACCGCTCCTTTGCCTTCTTTGAATTGACATCGTCTGCATTGTTTGGCTCGTGTCATCTATCGTTCATCTCTGAATCGTGTGATTTTTGTATGAAGCATTGAATCAAACCCTAGCTTCCTCCTACCGTCGGTACCCGTCCAACAGTCGTCAGAATCTCCTCAAACGGTTTGCAGGCCCTCATCTTCTCTTTCCTGCAGCCGATACTTTTCCCATAGGCCCTCCTCTGATCATCTTTGCAGTCAAAATTCTCTCAGTACCAGAAATCCTCCTTGCTAGAGGCAATTCTCCATCAAAATCCTCCTAAGTTCTCTTCCACGGCCAACTCCTTGCATCTTGCAACAACTAACAACCGCATGTACTCATTCCAGTCACCGGAATTTCTCCGAAAAACTACTAGAATCCCTGCAGCATGCCTACAGGCCCTCTCCAGCTCTCCACTATAATTGGAAATCCCAGTTGTAGGACCTCCATTGTATTCTCCTTGCAGGCCCGCTGTTGTTTGCTTTGTTGCCGCCTAACCCCTCTCTTGTCGCAGTAGCAACAGCTGCCGCATCTCTCAGCAACCGTCGGACTGCTCTCCTGTCATAACAGCAACAGCTAACTCCTCTTTTTCAATAGCCACTCTTTAGTGGAATTCTGTCGCCGGCATAGAGCAGCAACTGTCGGACCCCTATGAAGGTATCGACCTCCATTGTCATAGTAGCAAGAGCTGACTCCATTTATGTAATAACCACTCTCTAGTGGAAATCCTATGCGACTGATAGTTTCTGTCTAGCAAAAACCTGAGTTAGCAACAAAGAGTTTCCCACTATAATGAAATCCTGTGTCGGCGACAGACAGTTTTTTTATACACTGAAAATCATGTGTCGTCAACAAATAATTTCACTTTCTAGTGAAATCCTCTTCTATAACAGCCACTCGTCGAACATTTCTTCCTACAACGAGGTTAATCATCTCTTGTGACAAGTTATAGCCCTAAATACACAAAATTTTATGTTTGTCTTCTTTCCTTATTATAAACAACTAGCAGCAACCAACTCCCTTCATGTAAAAAACTACAGCCCAATATACAAAGAGTTTATGCCCAAGTACGGTACAAAGATGTCGAGTTCCACTTCGGAGGTTAATTGTATCTTGTGTGAAAATTGCAAGAAACTTGATCAAACAAAGAACAAGTGTTGGAAACAAAAAACCTACAGAATGAAAACCCGAGCAATGAATGAGCGAGGCGTCCCACGTGCAACTTGGGAGCGAAGCGTGTTAATGAAGCTACTCCGAAAGAGTCTCCTTTTAATTTTGTCGTGGAATAGGATCACAAAATTTCGAGAAAACTGGAACAAAAATTTAAGAAAGCACAATCAAAGCAACCAGAAAAACACAAATTTTATGTGAAAAAATCCAAAAACAAAAAAAAAATCACGAAGCCACACCACGACAAATTTCATTGTGTAATTCAGAAAAATTTACAATTAAATCACATAAGTTTCTTTTTCACACTCACACGAAGAAACTTATAAGACTTGCACCAAAAATCTCCCCTCTTAAATCTAACGCAAAAATTACACCAAATCATCGAAATTCACCTCTTCGACACTCTTCACATGCTCTGATATGCTTGTCAAATAATACAGAAGAAAGAAACAGCAAAACTCAATAAAAAAGCTTTAAATCGGGATTAAAATTGTAATCTCATCACTAATTGTTCCGAGCGCCTAAGCGTCGAGCTCTCGAGTAGCTAGCGCCCTAGCGCCAAAAGTGAGCACCTAAGCGCATGCATTAGGCGCCTAAGCGCCCAGAATGGGCACGGAATTTCCACCTGCTCGGTTTGATAACACCCAATGGGCGCTTGAGTGCCCATAGCTCAGCGTCTTGTCTCTGGGAGCACTGCCTGCGAAAAAGTCAACCTACCTGTTGCTCATGGGTGTTTCAATCAGACTCCACAACTAACAATCTCCCCCACTTAGAGACTGAGAGCATCTCAGTCCTCTGTACCTGCACCTCAATCTGAATCGCCTTCATAGTCACTGTGATCAAGTACCATGGTGTGGTTCATCCACGGTCTCAATCATCATGAAACTGAACTGAAGTCAAACACAGCTTCAGTTTCTCAACAGTCACCACCTTCGTCAACATATCCACGGAATTTTAAGTTGTACGTATCTTTTTCAAAAATAACTACCCATTTTCTAGAAGAGATCAAATGAAATGATACATGAGCTGGATGTGTTTCATCCTGACATGAAAGCAATGTGCTTAACAAGATGAATCGCACTCAAACTGTCACTATAGAGATTTCTAATTCCCTGCTCCTTGCCCAATTCTACCATGAAATTTTGTAGTTAAATCATCTCCTTGTTAGCCTCAATGATAGTAATATATTCGACCTCCATAGTTGAAAGTGCAACAAACATTTGCAACCTGGAGACCCAGGTGACTGTTGTATTCCTCAATGTTAAGACATACCCTGTCGTACTTTTCTTACTATCCACATCTCACGTTAGATCTGAATTTATGAATCCTTGTAGACCGATCCCTGCAATTCCATAACAAAGTATCATGTTGATTGTTTCTCTCAAATACCTGAGAATCTATTTTACCACCTCTCAATGATGTCTATCTATATTGCTCATGTATCTGCTGACTACTCTCACTGCTGTGCTCATTTTCTATGTAGATGATATGATCTTGACAGGTGATGATGAAAAGAAGATTGGGAAAAGCAAGGAGGTCATCGCCACTATTTTAGAAGTAAAATATCTAGGAGCGATGGGATACTTTTTAGGCATAGATGTAGTCAGGTTCAAGATGGTTATTGTGCTATTCCAAAGAACATACGTCCTAGACGTACTAAAAGAAATGGGAATATTGGGATGAAAACCTGTTGAAACTCCTACGATTTTCAACAAAAAATAACATTCATGAGAGAAAAAACACCAATGGAAAAAGTTAGATGTCAAAGATTAATAGGTAAGTTTATCCACTTGTCACACACTAGACATAATATCGCTTATTCTGTTGGCATTTTGAGTTAACATATGAATAGTCCGAATGAAGAAACTTTAAAGATGATTTAAAGGATACTAAAATTTCTTAAGAACCCTACCAAAAGTTTACCATTTAAGAAATCAGATAACATAGAGATAGAAATTTACACTGCTTCTAGTTGGGTAGGAGAACTCGCCGATAGAAGGTCCACTTTTGGGTATTGTTCCTATGTCTGGGAAATCTTGTTACCTAAAGGCGTAAGAAGCAAGTAGTGGTCTCTAGAGGCAATGTAGAATTTGAGTATCGGGCAATTTCTTGGGAATTTGTGAAGGAAAGTGGATCAAAAGTTTACCAAGTGAGTTAGGATACTGGTCAATTCCATAGACATGTTTTGTGATAAACCCGCTAATAGTATCACAATGAATTTAGTGCATCATTATAGGACTAAGTTCATTGAGATTGATAGACATTTTATCTATGAAAAGGTGGTCAATAGAGGTATTATTCATTTAACTGTATTCCGATTCATATTCAAGTCGTTGATGTTTTCATTAAATCTCTACCTCCAGGTAGCTTCACTAATTTGAATACTAAGTTGGGCCTTTATAACATCATTACTCAACTTGAGAAGTGTGGAATTCTGAGTTTCCTATGTTAGTGTTATTATCTTTTATTCTTTTTTTATTATGTCATATTTTTTCTCTTCTTGAGTTATTTTATTTTTAGTAAGTTGTAACGGTTGTAATTATTTGCCCTATTTGCTCCTTATTATATAAGGAGAAGAGTTGTAATTTGATGAATGAGAAAAGAGAAGCTACGATTTTCTACAACATTCTTCACATAGAAACCTACTTTCCAATGATGCGCATGAATTTTCTCTCTTCTAACAATATCCATTAAGAGCAAGAGGGACTTGAAAAATAATTCAAGCACTAAAAAGTAAAAAAAAATATCTGAAAATAACACTTGGCAAAAAAAAAGAAATAAAATATGAACCAAAATGAAATACACTACCTTTGGATGCAAGCTTGCAGCTCAGGTACTCCACAATGGCATCTTTTACGTAAAAGGTTTAGAAGTTGTCCTCCTCTGATATCTTCTCTTTCAATTTCTGCTATAAGCTCGTAGATTGGTGGCATAAGCACGGCATACTAAGGAGACATTGTTTGTTAGATAGCAGCAAAAGGAAGATGCAAACAATGTCTTTCAAAAAAAAAATCAAATTTATTGCTATAAGAAATTAATTAGAGTGATTGTATTATTATTTATTATTGAAAACAAACCACGGATCAACATTAAATTTTATCATCCATATTAATTATGGATTCCAAACTGCAGTCAAGCATATATCAATTACAAGTTATCTAGCGTTCAGGTGGATCACCTGGATTAAATACACATTTGTGGCTATAAGAAATGATTTAGAGGTAATAAGCATAGAATTATGGAGGCTATGCCACATTAATGTTAAGATGAAGATATGAAAAGATCATGGACGAAACTGATTATGGCAAAAGAAACTGTTTCGATAATACTGATCAATGTTATGGTGCTAAACATAGGTTGGCATTGTCTGAGAACATGCAGATATGCAATGATCATGTACTAATAAAGCGAAATGGTTACTAACGAAAACAGTAGTCCGAAACTAACAAATAAAGTTAGAATCAATTTAAAATGACCTAATTAGATAAAAAAAATTAAAACAGTAAACCATATGAGATAAATATTGAGTTTTGGATAGTTAAGGGGGATATTAATGTGATTTGATTAATGGAACTTGTCAATAGAATTGTACACTAAAAGGATGGCAAATTATTGGACAATAAGCATTTTGGGAAAAATATTTAAGAGTAATGACAAAGTTCAAGATGATGCTAAATATAGACAATCAAATTTATGAGGTCATACAATGAAAGCTATGGTAGAAACTAAAGTAGAGTATACTTAAAAAAATAATTTAATTTTAAAAAAATTATTTTGATTCGTGCCAGAAAGATTTATTATTAAAGTGACTCATGTGTTAATACAATTAAGGAAGAAGTATAAATAACAAAGAAATTATCTTCATATGATTTTCATTACTCTTGAGAAGGCATAGGGATCAAGTACACCAAGAATTTATTTGGACGTTTTAAGGTAGAGAGTGTCAAAAAATATGTTTATTATTAATGTGGAACGACCCAAAAGTGATTAATTTCTATAAGCTTACATTAAGATCAAGTATTGCACAATATTTTTGGCATTGAATATAGAGACGTTTAAAAAGAGCATTTAGAACAAGGTGCCTTGGTGCATGCTTTTTGCATATAATATAATTTTAATAAATGAGATATCTATAAATGAATGAAAAATTAGAACAATGGAAGAAATGTTTAAAATATAGGCCTAGAATTAGTAGAAACAAAATTGGGAAAAATTATATAATTTTGGAGGGTATGATATTAATGTTAGAAGTTATATTATGAAATAATTTATTCATGTTAGAAGTTACAAGGATTAGATTTATTTCATAATATAACTTTATTTCTTTTCCTATTTTAGGTTTTCTTATTTTATGTTGTTTCATTTATCTTCAAATAATTAGTAATGATTGATTAATTGGAAATATTAGGTGCTATATCTTTCCTTTCATGTTATTTCTTTTTATTGTATTTCCTATTCTATGATTCATTTAAGGGTTATTTATACCCCCTTTCATATCAATAAAAGTATTTCGCATTATTCAGAATTTTAACAGGGTATCAGAGCTTGAAAGAAACCCTAGAGTCTTCTGTCACTGGAAACTTCCTATTCCCTATCATGATGCAGACCCTGCCCTCGCCTCCTCATTTTTAGTTTTACTGGTGAAAACTTCCTCCCCCTACAAGCTTGGTCTATCGGCTGGCCCTTCTAGAGCTGAGAGCTTCGACTCTGTCAGCCTCCTAAAAGCAAGCGGCAATTTAGCAGCAGTTTTTCTTCCTATTGTTTTTTTTCCTCCCGTACAGATATGTTCTGTGGGTGTTATTTATTATATTTTCTGTGTTTTTTAGAAACTTTGCTTTGGGTACATGTCGGTTGTGAAGTCTGACAGCCTCCCTCCGTGGGTCGGCTTGGGAGCTACTGCCTCGGTCCAAATTGCCTCTGGCACTGGCTACAGCTTCTCGCTATATTCGTCTGTGCTCAAAGCCATGCTTGGTTATAATCAACAGCAACTCACCTTGCTCAGCGTCGCCAACAACATTAGCAAAAACTTTGGCATGTTCCCGGGCATCGTTTGCAACTGGCTTCCGCCTTGGTTTTTCCTCCTTATAGGTGTCGCTTCCTGCTTCATCGAATATGGCGTCTTATGGCTTGTCGTTAGTAGCGCCATCGACTTCGTGCCTTTCGGGGTGTTATGGATAGCTTTATGTATTGCTACAAATAGTAGTACATGGTTGGGTAGTGGCGTCCTCGTCACAAACATGAGAAACTTCCCTTTTTGTAGAGGCACAGTTTTTTGCATTCTGAAGAGTTACATTGGCCTCAGCGCTGCAGTGAATACTCTATTTTACACGATAGTGCTAAATTACTCTCCCTCCAAGTTATTGTCGCTACTTACTCTCGGCCTACCTCTTGTTTGCCTCATAATGATGTATTTTGTGCGCCCCTGTACTCCAGCTTCAGAAGACGACTCATTGGAGTAATGTCATTTCTTGTTCACCCATATTGTTAGTGTTGTGTTGGGCCTCTACTTGTTAACTTCGACACTTGAGGGCTGCTTCTTATCATTTCATGTTGTTGTTTCATAAAAATCCAGTGTTGGTTCTTGCAGCCTGATATGCCGCCGGCCCTTTCTCCTATAACTTTCTCTGTCAGTAGAATTTCTTGGGTGTGATTTCTTTTTTCTCACTCTTACGGAAATCCCAATCGAAGAGTTGCCACTGATGTTCTGAGAGCGGAAGTTGTTCTTTCTAGTGGCACTCCCAATCAAAAAGTAGAAGTTATTTCCCCACACACATCTTCGTAGCGAAGTGAACAATGAGGAAGAGCTATTTTTGTCATTTTCCCTCCTGCAGGAAAGATTAGCAGGCCCTTCTCCAGAGTTTTTCCTGCAGCAAGTCCTCCACCGGAATTCTTCTTGCAGCAGACCCTCCTCCGGAGTCTTTTCTTGCATCAGGACACTCCGAAGTTTTTCTTGCAGCAGGCCTCCTCAATAACTTTTTCTTGTAGCAGACTTTCCTTTGGAGCTTTTCCATCTGCAGATCTTCTTCCAGGGCTTTTCCTACATCAAACCCTCATCTCCCTACAACAGACCCTCCTCCGGTATCCTTCCTGCAGCAGGCCCTCCTCTGGAGCCTTTTCCTACAGCAATACCTACCTCCGGAGATTTTACTTTTCTTTTTCTACAAGTCAAACCCTGTAGCTTTCCCTATTGATTGTCTACTGCCCGGTAAACTCCCTGCCACATTATTTATAGGAACTTTTCACCAACCTACAGATGCTGCAGGAGTTGTAGTCAATAACAACCACAGTCAACTAGAAGTCAGTTTTTCCTATAGATTGTCTACTTCACAGCAAACTTTACTGCAACACTACCTGTATGAGTCTTCTACCTACCTACACACACTGCAGAAACTGCAGTCAAAGACAAACGCAGTTGCTACTTCACTGCAAACTCCCCCACAGCATTATTTGTAGGAGTCTTCCGCTTACCTACAGACACTATCACGCTGCAGAAACTGCAATCAATGACAATCGCAGTATGGGTTGAAGACTTCAAGTTCTACTTCACAGGAACTTCTTCACCCATTGTTTGATGTTTTCAAATCCAAATTGAACATAGTTTTCAACCATGTTTTAACTTGAGGGGTAATGTTAGAATTTATATTGAGAAATAATTTATTCATTTTAGAAGTTATCATGATTAGATTTATTTCTAAATATAACTTAATTTTCTTTCCTATTTGAGATTTATTTTCTTGTGTTGGTTTTATTTCCTTTCCTATTTTAAGCTTTCCTATTTTATGTTATTTCCTTTATCTCCAAATAATTAATATGAATTGATTAATTAGAGATATAACGTGTTATATATTTTCTTTCCTGTTATTTCTTTTTATTGTATTTCTTATTCTATGATTCATATAAGGGTTATTTATAACCTCTTTCATATCAATAAAAGCATTATGTGTTATTTTGAATTTCAGCATAATAATTATCATATAACATTATTAGAAAATAAGATGATGTCTTGGTCTGATAGATTTATGTATCTTGACTCTACAAAAGAATAAAGATATAAATGAGGGCATAATTTTATCATTGAGGATTCAAAATAAACTTTATAAAAATGCAATTAGGTAGTGATGTATAAATCTAAATGTTGGAGTAAAAAAAGTTATTAATATCCAGTACTAAGTGGAAAAAATGAGAATGTAAAAGACTAATGATGACAAAAATTAAAAAAAAAAAATTAAGAATGACTATATAAAAGAAAGGTTTGGATTTAAGATCTATTGAAGATATTGTCTTTAATATAGACCAAGGTGATTAATACATGTACAATTATTGGTAAAAATATATACTACTAAACGATTTGATGAAGTTAATGTTAGATGATTATGCCGAAAATATTTTAGAACTAAAATTGCATCAATAAAAATTGTTCAAAAACTCTTTTTAAACAATGCATTTAACACCTAGAATAGCACTCAATATTTAGAAATGAAAATTGACAATTCATAAATGCCAACTCCAAATAATCAGGATATGGCTAATGATTATACAATTATGGAAAACCAATTTATTTCATTCCAAAGAAAAATACTAGAGAAAAATAATGCAATCAAGTTGTGAGTTCATAAAAATATATATCTAACCAAGCTTAATTAATTTAAAGCATAGATATTATGGTGGCCTACAAAGATTGAATCAAACTCAAGTTTGACTTGATTCAAATGAAATAGTGCTCAGGCAAGACTTGACTGGCACTATCAACCATAAGAAAAACTATAGAGATTGAGTGACTTGACTCAAGACCATAGATGTTTGAACTAGTCAAACCTAGGCGTAAAAGGGCAAAACTGACCTACACTCCAAATGGCCCAGCAAAATTAGACAAATTGGTCCAATCCACTTGCCTCCTTCTTCCAAATGCATAGCAAAAACTGCATGTGAGGAAAGCCATGAGGAC